CATCCGTAAGCATTCCACATTTTTGAGCATTTCTTACCTCCATTATGACCTTGTATTTTTCCTAATGCGTTGAAATTCATGGAGACATAGCTTTTAATTCTGCACCTAGAGTGAAACTTAAAGCATAGAAACCAAGGTGTAAAAACGTCCTTTCTGTGGAGGTACAGTAATTCTCTCCGGTTTTCTATCTTCTCTGTTTTGCACACTTTACTGAAATTGTAGTCAGATATTCTCCACTCTTATTTTAGGTATTTAAGATTTTGCAAAAGAATGGTAGGATTCTCTTAACTTAGCTGTTTTAGCCTTTCAAACGGAGAAATAATTACTTTTTAAAGAGCCACGCTTCAGTCAAAAGACCAGGAAGTAGTTGTACCTGGCCTCCAAGTAAACTATTCAATTCAAGGTAGCTGATTCATTATAGGCCAGGACGTAGCTAATGCTAGAAACGTTTCGTGCATAAGGAAAAATGGGCTCAGTTATATTTGCGACATATTGAATTTTTCTGGTGATGAGTAGCGAGTAGTTCAAACGATGTTTAGTTTCATTTCCCTTTGTGTTATTTAAGGTTTCTCTTTTTTCCTGCATGAATTGCCCTAGTAAGTAATCATATAGGTGTGGTTTTAACTTCACTGGAATTTGTATTTAGATGTAAAGACTTCTCTTTTGATGAGGTACAGTAATTTTCTCCCGTTTTCTATTTTCTCAGGGCAAATCGTGTTTTCGAGACATTTATTGTGAAAGAGCATTGATTCATGGAGGACCAGCCAAGAGAAATTGTTTGATATGCAATATTGTTTGTCTTCTTTGATTTTGGAACATATTGAAGTAAATTTACAGAGAGATTATACATAGGGGAATATTGCACAAAGTCGCTGTGGTTGTTCTGTGTGTCAAAGTGGTAGTGTTCATTTTGGTCTTCGATTGTTGTAGTGGTGTTTGTGTGTCGTGGTGGTAGTGTTGTTTTGTGTGTCTTAGTTGTAGTGGTCATTATGGTTGCTAGTTGTAGTGGTCATCATAGTTGAAGTTGTCGTGGTAGTCATGGTCAAGTTTGTATTGGACAAAGTTTTGGGATCATTATGGTTGTCTTGGAACAAGCCCTCATGGTTTTCACCTTTCAAAGTCGTCACGGATCTAAGTTGTTGTGGTCTTTGTATGTGGAGACCATCGTGGGTTGTAGTTGAAGTCGCCGGAGTCGTCGCTCGTCGAGGTTGTCGTTGTCGTCGTAGGTCGTCATTATGGATCGTGGGTGATATGGGGGATGTGGGCGTTGTGGGTTATGGGTGATGTGGGCATTGTGGGTTATGGGTGATGTGAGCGTTGTGGGTCGCGGGTGATGTGGGCGTTGTGGGTCGTGGGTGATGTGAGCGTTGTGGGTCGTGGGTGATGTGGGCGTTGTGGGTCGTGGGTGATGTGAGCGTTGTGGGTCGTGGGTGATGTGGGCGTTGTGAGTTGTAGTCGTCATGGATATTTTGGGTTGTATGGGTCAAGTGGTCACGTATGGAGGTCATCATGGATGTAGTCGTCGTGGTCATTGTGATGTTTGTGGGTCCAGTGTTCCAGGTCTTTGCAGGTGGAATTTGTTATCATAGGTCGAGGTTATCATGGTGAAGTTGTTTTGGTTATCATGGTGAAGTTGTTATGGTTATCATGGTGAAGTTGTTTTGATTATCATGGTGAAGTTGTTATGGTTATCATGGTGAAGTTGTTATGGTTATCGTGGTGAAGTTGTTATGGTTATCATGGTGAAGTTATCATGGGTTGAAGTCGTTTTGGTCATTGTGATTTGAGGTTGTCATGGTCAGTTTTTGTGGGTCAAGGTTGTTGAGGCTGTCATGGTCGCCGTAGGTCGGAGGTCATTGTGAGTTTAAGTCTTCGTTAGTCAAAGTCAGCGTGGTTTTTGTGGGTTGTTGTAGTTTAAGTCTCTGTGGTGTTCGTGGATGGAAGTTATAGTGGTCGTCATAGGTTGAGGTTGTCGTGGTTTGTGTGGGTCAAAGTTGTCGTGGTTTGAAGTCATTGTGGTGGGTGATTGGCGGGTGCTCTGGTGTGGTTTGCTCTTTCTTTCCTATCAAACATCTGTCATTTTTATCTCCACTCCTCCTTTTTTGTGTTTGTTACTCCCTTTAAACACCTCTAATCTTGGGCACTTATATAACCTTATTGTGTTGCAAGTGCCGTAATACTCTTACGAAAAAAAACCCAACATGTGGTTCTCGTGGGTTGTTGTTGAAGTTTTTGTGGTGTTCGTAGATCAAAGTTGTCGTGGTTTGAAGTCATTGTGGTTTGTGTGGATTAAAAAAAACAGGGCACTGCATGCACAGGGCGACCAGCAATGTCATGGTTGTGAAAGTGTTCTGTATTGGTAGTGTGTATTTATGTATGTGTATGTATTTATTTATGTACATATGTATTTATAATTATGAATTTATGTATATATGTATGTGTTTGCCACAGTAAATATAGCAAATTGATATGAGGTCTTTGTGTAGATAACTGCAGCACAAGGCGAGTGATGTGTGTTGTATTCGACTTCCTGAATCCAAATTAGTTTGGTTTCAAATGAGAGTCGTTGAGTCCGATCTTGGTTCTATTTATGTGTTCATTGAATATGTGATATTGTTCTACAACTGATTTTAATGAATGTTTGAAAAACAGGGGAATCTCTCTCCTTATGTTGAGGCGGAGTTCAACTGTACTATGTTGACAAATAAAAGGAAATGAATTCTTGTCGTTCTTTGTCGTTTTTATTTAAATGTTGTTGTTTTCTGTCGTTTTTATTTAAATTATGTGTTTTTTTTAATGTTGTTTTTCCGCCCTTATCAACACAATTTAATGAAATCATTTAGGAGGCGGGCCGCCGACCCTGTCTGTCACTGTCGAGCCAACTTTGTCGTGGTCTGCTCCTTCCTTGTCAATAACAAATGGTATAGGTTTAACGCCTCTATCAACACTATTAGGTTATTTAAGAGGCGGGACCTCCGAGTTTAACGTCCTTCTCCGAAAGGACCGAGCCAAATGGGAATTGATGAAAAGTGCCTTTCCCAAGGACACAACGTCGGGCTGAGCTGAGGCTCGAACCCCCGAACTCGCAATCTCACGATTACGAGACCGGTGGCCTAACCACTAGGCTACCCACGCCACTCTTGGCAATAATCTATCGTCCATATTTCTTTTCCATCTTTTTGGTGTTTGTTACTCTCTTGTGACACTTCTGGTCCACGGCACTTGTATGACCTGTTTGTATTGCACGTGCGGGAAACCACTCCAACAAAAAGGGTCAACCTGTTCTAAGGGGGATACAATATCCCAGCTGAAAGACCGAGATACTCGATAAACCTTTCAGCCTGCTCAGGAATTGAACTCATGTCTTCTGTGTGCAAGAGAGAGAGAGTCATTCACTCACGCATTCTCGCTCTCTCTTATGCACCCTCACTATCACTCTCTCACGCACTCTCATTCACTCTTACTCTCTCTCCTCACTCTCACTTTCGTCTCTCTCTCTTTCTCTATCTCTCTATCTCTCTCCCTCCCTCTATCTATCTATCTATCTCTCTCTCTCTCTCTCTCTCTCTCTGTATATATA